TTTTTTCCTAAGTGCTGGGAATAACTCAGATGAACAGGATCCCAACTCCCAGCTTCATGGGCTGTAGGGTGTAAAGATAGGAATGAGGTTTGAAGCTGGTTCCTACCCTTCTGATTAGCCAAGGAGGCAAGTGTCAGACTGGGGCTGCCCAGAGAGTTCAGCTTTCAGATACTGGCATCTCCACGAGCCCCACAATTCCCCAAAATACTTATATGCAGGCTACAAAAATCCCCCACTGCATCTGATCAGTGAAAGGGAAACTGAGGCATGGTCAGACAGGATAATTCATCATGTTACTTGTAGTGAGAGAAGCTGGCAGCATCTTTACTGCTCCCTGCCTGAGTTATACCACAAACCTCATGCACACAACAGGGTGAAAACTCTTCACAGCAGCAATTTCACCCTTAAACCCACCAAAGTCCACCCTCACCCAGGGAGAGAAACTGAAACAGAGAGACACAAGGTACAAGAGGAACAAGAGGTTTCCCTGGCTGCAGGGTTAGTTGGATCCAAGTCCCCAGTGAGCTGTGGGACACCAGAGTCCCACCCAGCAGATGGAGTGACAGACCTCTCTGCTTTGCTGAGCTCTGCTCAAAGGTGATTGTCAATATTCAGAAGTTGTTTTAATCTCCTTTTCCCCCCCCTCAGTTCAGCTACATCACTCCAGAGGGTTACTCAGGTCCCCTGGGTTGGGTGCCTGTTAAAGGAGGTGGTGATGGAGAGCACTGGCTCTCCTGCACCGTATGGGCTGCAGGTAGCACTGCTGTTGGAAGGGGACAGTGCCTTGGACATCATGCTGTCCTGTGAGCTCTGTGCCTGCTCAGCCTCCTCTGCACCAGGGGGCAAACAACTTGCCAAAACTTTAGAGCACAACCTACCAGACAACTCCAAATGGGCACCCCATGACATGGGCACCATAGCAGGGACCCAAATGAGCCCCCCGTGACATGGGCACCATGGCAGGGAGCTGAAAGCAGGATTCCTGGAAGAGGTGGATTGGTCCTGGGAAATCACCTGGGACCATCATCCTTGCAGATAAACCTGGTTCTGCACCAGGTCCCTGCACAATGTTGGCATCCAGGGAAGTCAGAGGGTCTTAGGCTTCAGACACTGCCACCCTCTTTGGGGTGATGAAACCTCACTTATCTCCAACATCTTCAGCAGAGGTGGGAGCCCTGGGCCCACTGAGGCAGATCCAGGTGCCCTCATCCAGAATGGGAGGAAGAGAGACTGGGGGCAGGGATGGCAGAGCTGTCTGGAGCCCACTGTGCCACAGCTACAGCCTGTTGGAAGCAGAGCTGCTTCCTCCTTTGCCTGAGATTCATTAATTAAACTGCTGAACGCAGAAATGAATTAATTAAACCAATTATGATGATGCTTTTTTATTCATGTGCTGTTTACTTTGATTGATTCTGTGAGCCTGATTAACAAACACCGAATATGCGTTAACTAATTGAATTAATTCATCACTGGTTTATCCACTGATCAGTTACCTACCCCTCCCCTCTGTGTTGTGTCCTGAAAGTTTATGCCAAGGAGCAGGTTCCCAGGGGCTCAGGCACAGCAGCAGGGCTGGGCTGGGGGTCAGGGTGACTTACCAAAAGGCAGGACGAAGAAGAAGGGGAACCAGCAGAGGATGAAAACACCCACGACGATGGCGAGAGTCTTGGCCGCTTTCTTCTCGCGGGAGAACTTGAGGAGCCGCACGGAAAGGGAGCTCCTGAAGTTGTGGCCCTTGCTCCTGGTGCTGGAGAGAGGCTCCTCCAGCACGCTGCGGCAGTGGATGCGCAGAACCACCTCCATGGATTTGTTCCTCTCCTTCTTGACCCCTGCCTCCAAGCTCCGGGTGGTCCTCCTGGCCACCACGTAGATCCTGAAGTACATCACCAGGATGACCATGAGGGGCAGGTAGAAAGAGAAGAGGGAGGAGAACAGGGCATAGCCTGGCTCCTCCGTGATGCTACAGATGCTCTCATCTGGAGGTGGTGGCTCCTTCCACCCCAGCAGCGGCCCGACGGAGATGACCATGGAGGAGAGCCAGACCACCACGAGGATAACCCCGGCCTTCTTCTCGGTCATGATGGTGGGGTACTTGAGGGAGTACTTCACGCCGATGTACCTGTCCACCGAGATGATGCACAAGCTCATGATGGAGGCAGAGCAGCACAGCACGTCCACGGCTGCCCAGATGTTGCAGAAGATGCGCCCGAACACCCAGAAGCCCAGCACCTCCAGGGTGGCCGAGAAGGGCAGCACGGTGGTGCTGAGCAGCAGGTCGGCGATGGCCAGGTTGACGATGAAGTAGTTGGTGACAGTCTGCAGGTGCCTGTTACAAGCCACCGACAGGATCACCAGGATGTTGCCCACGATGGCCGAGAGGATGAAGGCAGCCAGGAAGACCCCCACGCCCACCGCCTGCACGTCCAAGGCGAAAGTCAAGGTGGTGCCGTTGCCCTGGGGGGTCTCCTCGCTTTGCAGCCCCCAGGAC